AAAATTTAACGGCGTGTCGCTATTAGTAACAAATTTCACGATATCAGAAACAAACCGTTTGTGTCATTTGGACCAAATTGTCACACTAGGGAAAATCGAGAGCATGGTCTTATTGGCAGCTTAACGTGATTCCCGATCTCGACCCTGTAGGAGAGACACGGCTGGACGGCCTCTCTACCCGTGGCCTATGTACATAGATACCAACGATCGGCTTCTCTTCGGTAGCCCGTCTGGTTTTTTGGTAGCAGTTTGCCGGAGACCCGCCGCCACCGAGCCGAGGCTACCTGCCCTAAGGCCACCTCTTTCCTTCCGAAGGTGGAATGGTGGATGGACGCTCCTAGCGACGGATTCGAGCACCTCTCGATCGAATCTACGATGCGTTTCTACTCTAAAATGATGCGATATTTACTCGACTAAAATTTATTTTCATAACTGTCTGATTTTCCAGTGGGACACAGTTTATCGGATAGATTATTATAGATTAAAGAAGGGTACGAGAAAAATTCTCCCTCGTGAAAGAAATCTTCATTTAGATACATCTATGCATTAGCATAACACCACGTACTGTGACTCCGAATGATGATTGAAACGTCAGATATTACTAATCGTTTTTTAACGAAGAAACATCACCAGCAGTACGGTCATTACTTAATGTAAACACAACTCCGAAGAACTTCTACAACGATAAATTAGTCAAAATAGAGGCGTAGGATTGAAAGTGTAAATAACGCCCGTAACTTAAAGCGTCGAAGAAGTTTCGCGACATTGGAATGTATTCGATTGTCTGCGAGATGGTCGTTTTCTTATGCCGTAAACTTGGATGCGGGCGACCGGTGGACTTAGGAAAGAAACAGTTTACAGCTGTTCGAAATAAATTCGCATATAAACAGTGGCAGCCTGCGCGAAAGAAACTCATTCTGCGGAAAGAACGAACGAGTTTCTTGATGCGGGCGAGTGGCTTTGAAGTTCCCAACGATTAAAGTAAGGCGACAGAGGTTGTCGAATGACGAAGCGATTCTCGCGGGTGACGTAACGAGCTGAGAAATTTTAGGAGCAACGAGGAGAGGTCTGGAAGGTCTTCGATAAATCTTGCTCTTCGACTCTTGATAGGAACGTGCCGCTATTTGCATATCGAGAAGTCTTCGTTGACCTTGCGGACGGGGAGAATTAATTTTGACAGTGAGAAGTTTCTTTAAACTTCGACTAAACGTATCTGTGACGACTTGATCGATGATCTTCAATTTCGCAGACAATCTTAACGACAAAATACACTTCTCCTCTAGTTTGCAAAAAGTAAACAATTTTTTTCGACAGAGTCGAAACTGTTCGCGAGAGGATCGCATCCATCGCCACATTAGTCGAGCACCCGGTATACGGACGGATCGCACGGGAGAGAAAGATCAAGCGGTCCACCCACGCCCACGTCTCAACCTGTTCTGTTTCTCCCGTCCAGCCGCGGTTACAGGTGCCTCCCCGAGGGCATTCCTGCTGGAATTCTTCACCGATGATCCTCCGCTCTCGGCCCTCCTGCAAATTCACTCGCATCGGTAAACCGCGACACGACTGGAAAATGACCCGTACACGGTCGAGGTTTAATAGAGGTTCGCCCGCAGGTTTGATCAACTGTCCCTCTCGCGAGAAGGAGCAGCAGGGAAGAGATGATCGACCAGACCCCATCGGTAAACTTTCGATCATAATACGCAAATGTTGTCTTATTCCTTGCTCAGGAATATCATCCCAGACTTGGACTTCTTATTCCACTCCAAGTCTTCGTGAAGGTCTTCTGGTAACCAGTACTGCTATCAATTTTTTCTGTTTACTTTTCTTACCTTCCAAGTAGTCTGCCTCGACTAACTCCATTTTTCAAAGATGTTACGAACTTTAAGGGATGAACCTTCCCTTAAAGACGAAATAAGACGAAACCTTAGACTGTCCTTGTTACGCTAAAAAACAAATAAATAAATAATTCCACCATACGCATGGGCTGTAGAATTCCTGTTAGGGATTCCTCTTCTTGCAGTCGTAGATCACCCGAAGGCATCGATACGCAGTTTCGTTTTCCTTCGACTTCGCCTGCGACGAAAAATCCGAAAAGACTCGAGACGTTCACGGAACATCGACGCGGAGGAATCTAACCAGTCGATTAAGTTTCTCCTCTCTAATGAAACTCGGTAATCGGGTTACATAATCTGTGACGCAAAGCGACGACCGTCTCCGAGATTGATTTCTACGAACGGCCGACAGCGTCGAGGCGAATCAGCCTCAAAACGTGACCGACCGAACCGACCATTAAGCTTTCCCGAATGCCCTTCGACGGAGTCTGTCAGGGAATAAAGTCTCGCGGAGAGAAAGAGAAGTCGGACAAGTAGAAGCAACCTCTCGAGTTTCACGAAACTCTCTCGATTAGCGCCAGATTAGGGTGAAACTTTTCGAATAATTCCATATTCGAGTATCAGAATTTGTTCCAAAAAAGTTTGTTTAAAGATCATCCGTCACAGTGGTATAGGTCACGATTAGATTCACATGCATTTTACTCCCTCCAGTGGCTGGAAATTATGAGCCACTTCCAGGATTTACAATATAATAAAAAAAGAGCGTATAGGTGTCTATCGCGAAACGTTTCATTCCACGACTCGAACTTTCCATCCAGATAAGAATTTTGTCCATCTCTGGTCGCAGCCCTGCTCTCGGTCTCTCGAAGCGTGCGAGCGGACTGCTCGAAATAATCGTTCCGACGGAGAGGGGGACTTCTTGATGTCGCGAAGAAGCGATGGGCAAAAAGGAACATCGCGGGCAAGGTAGAAGCAGACGATGCCGAGGAGACGAGGGAGAACGTAAAAGGAGGGAGAGGATGGCAGCAACCGTACGCCCACACATCCTCGTCGGGGACCTGTTCTCGGCTTTTACGTTCTGACATCTTTTCACTCCGTTTACGAGTCCCCTTTACGTTTTACGACCGATCATCGGGGGCCCTTTCTCTCTGCGAGATTCTACCGACCGCGGGGCCCTGGCCATGGCGAAGGGGAAAAGGGAGAGAACGAAGGAAACAAGAAAACGATCATCGGCCGGTAGGAGGAACAGGGATGGGGCCCCGAAGACCGCCGTGAGACTCTGCTATCCGCCGCGGATCTTTCGATCCCCGATACGAATATTGCGTCGAATGGCCACGAATATCTTGACCACGGAAAATGGAAGTCCATCGAAAGGAGATCGTATCGATAGCGAGACGATTGTTGGCAGCCCGAGCATCAGCCTGTTGGAAATGTATGCTCATCAACGATACAATGTAGCCACCCGATGGCAACCTTTCGACCCACTATGAATATAGTGGCAGCTACTTGACGCGTTCGAAGATAGTCACGCGTGGCGTTCTTTCGATTGGACGATTGAATTTTTACTTATTCAACTTACATTACAATATTCTATATTTGAAATTACAATTTTTACTCCGAGGATGAGCAGCTGCTTATCTTTGTTTCGCCGTTCGATATTTTTATCTCCACTAAAGTCTAACGAATATCGAATTCCCAATTCTCGTTAATTAAAATAATCGCCCTTCGAGAATGTGCAATTTATGAACGAGGATGCACATCGCGAGTCGTTTCGGGGGTGCAAAGTTGAAGGTCGCGGAGCGATGTCGCAACAAACGAGTCGCGGGTTTCTTCTCAACTGCAACAAACTTCAAGCTTCCGCGCGCTTTCTGCGTTAATGCCGGTCAGGCATTCGGCTGTTTCGCCATAAAAAGGATCCGTCGGCGCGAGGAACTCGGGATCAAATCGATTTCAAAGAGCGGTGACTGCGCGCGTACGCGCAGGAATGCGATAGGTTCGAATCGTTGGAAAGTCTTCGCTGGAACATCTGTGTCGTGGCCGCGCCTTCCGGGAACGCGAATTTCTATTCCGTAGATGCGGCTAATTGTCGCGCTTAGAAAATCGACGCGTTTCACACCGGCCGGGCTGTGTCTGTTCGAGTAATTCATCGTTAGATTCATTTTCTTTACTGACACAATGCAAAGAGTAAATATTTCGTGATATCGATAACGTTGGCAAGAGTAAACGTTCTTACGATTACACGTAAAATATTAAGAACAAAGGCTAAGCTGTTTGTGAAATCACCGCTCTGTTAAAGAGCAAAATAAAGTCCTTGGAGGGTTTGGTAATTGCGGGTTGATTTAAAATTTGGTTGCGCCTTCATAGGCGATTATACATTCCCCGCGATCAATTACGTGGCTGGAAGGGACAGCGTCGAAGAGACAGGCAATATCGCAAGTTTTATGGCGTCCCTGGACGAGTCCGGCAACTTCTCCTCGGAACGGAAACTCGCCTACACCGAAAAACGAGGATTCAGCTCGATTCATCGTTGGTACACGTTGATTCATGTGCTCGATGTGCGCCCCGCGCGCGCGATTTAAATTTCAAATAGTCGCCGGATACACCTCACGGACTTACACGTGGTTTTATGACAAAGTGCCGTTGTCGCGTCGAACAAGACGAGCCGTGTGGTCCGCGGTCGCATTAAAATAAACAGCAGAAAAGGGCTAAGCGGCTATACGAGTGAATTTCTCCTCGGTCGTAGACATGAATCGGCGACCGATCGCTAATGGTTCGTTCCACGCCGAATCGATTACTTCTTGCGGTCCGTGTTAGGGATCGTTTTGTGAAACTGAAATATGATGTAGTACACCTGAAATTAAAGGGGGTTTAAGTCATCGTGTTGTTAATTTCGAATTTGTTTCGAAGATGTAGGGTTGAATTTAAGGGTTCTGCCTATTCGAGGCGCTCGATGCAACGTACAATTCAGTTTCGTATTTGAATAGCGACGTTCAAATGATAATATTTTATTAACAATATTTAAATATCGTTACGCGAATACTGGAATATTTCCAGCCCTACTTGAGATTATCTGAGAATCTAGCGATACGATGGTAGCGTCACTTGCGGTGATTTCTGCAAGGCTGTCGCGTCATCGATGCCATCTTCGATCGTCCACCTTTTGTTTAATGGCTACGCGGAGCTCGATGACAGATGGTCGGTCGACACGATCCAAGCGCAAGAAACAAGCGGACGCTCTGATGGTGATTTACTACGACCGCGATTCGAGTTTCCGTCTCCGTTCGACGTTGCATCCGGTGTCCTGTCGCCTCGATCGGTATCCCTGCAAGTCAGAGATTGTCGCCTCTTCTTGTCTCTTCGTCACTCCTCTGATACACTGTATCGATTCGGTAAGCAACAGCGCGCGTCGAAGGTTTCCCCTTTAAAAATCTAGTTAAAAAGTATTTCTTTGAACTCGACATCCGATAGTTTTTATCACCCTTCAAAAATACAAAACCAAGTCTGAGAACAGACAATTAAGCTAGGTACACGTCGAGTGCAGGGTAGCGATGCGATACAATTAACTTTTCGCGTCGCGTGACAATGTACGATGTGCAGTTGTTTTATACCGTTTATATTTATACGAAATGCTGTGCTTTGCCGCTCTGCGCACGATTGTAAACAGATTATGATTTTATACATTTATCGAAATAAAATAGAAGCTTGATTAAGACCGTTTTCTAAATTATCTCATCGTTAGAATTGTTGTAGGACAATTTTAATAACGATGAAAGTTACGACGTTATTAATTTAGATTGCTAAAATAATACACCGTGCGACGGCGGGATAAACTCGTGGGCGTACCGCGTGCATGGAGGTGTTCCGCGTGTCCGGCACTAAAAGGATGATTCATAAAATTACGCGTAGCCAGCGATTTCATAAGCAATCGGAAATGAGCGCGCGTTGGTAGAGGCTGTAATTTAACAATATATCCGAGATTACGGGGAAAGGAAAGAGAAGTAAGAGCGGCGTGGTTTGGCTGTTTCAGGACGAGGTGGGAGGCAGTACGGTGGTAGCCGAGGGTGTAGTAGGCGGCATAAGGGGCCCAGGCGGCGGGTGCCGCGCATCCTCGATGACGATGGCCGAGAGCGCCGTGGAGGACGCTGCAGCCGCGCCCCCGGGTCCGGCCAAGCCGCCACCGCCCTCCTGTACAAACAACAACACCCTGGCGGCGACTGCGAACCGGAACCATCGGAACCTCCGCAGACGGAAACGGCTCGATCAGGTGGTGGACATCCTGCAACACCGTAGCTCGCCCAGCGAGGGTGAGGTCCTCAAGTTCGAGGGCAGCGGGCCAGCGTCGGAGGAAGAAGAAGACGTGTTCGGTTCCCCCAGGACGTTCTCGAGATCGGCGACGGACGCGCCGTCGGGCATCAGTCTGCTGCCTCTCAGGCTGAAGAGCGAAGAGCCTGTGACGCCCACCGAGGAGCAAAGAAATTCGAACGATGACGATCAACAGCAGCAGAATCACCATCCTCATCATCCTCACTATCACCCTCATCACTATCGTCATCGGCACAGGCATCATCACAGGAACAACGCGAATCACGCGTACGATCACCTTCACCCGCCTCATCAGAGATCCTCGACGCCCAAGTACGCTGGCTGCAGCTGCGTCCAGTGCTCCCAGTCCATCTCCTCTCCGATGGTCCTTCCCTCTCCCACCACCCCGCTCACACCCCTCACTCCTCTCACACCGCTCACTCCGCTCAACTTGCCGCCCCTCGCATTGCCGCCCCTCACGCCAGGATCCCTCTCGTCGTACAGCTTCGAGCATTACATGCACACCAAGTACCTGCCTGACATCTTTCGAGGACGTAGTCACTCGGACTCGGACCTGGTGCCGGGATGGGACCAGAAGCCACTGCTCTCGACCTCCTCGATCTTCGTGAACCATCCGTTGAGGTGCGGTTCCCTCGAGAGCGACACCACCAGTCCTCAGGAGTCGCCGTTGGATCTCTCGATGAAGAACCTGATGGCGACTGCCGCGGCGGCGGTCGCCGGAAGACCACCAGCTCTGCAGCTGCTCCCTCCCGGGATAGTGTCGAGGGGTTCCGTGAGCGTGCCCGTGGTGAAGGGCGACGTGGCGTCCCCGACGACGAAGGAGAGCGTCGCCGTTCGTTACAACCTCGAGGTCTCGCCCGTGGTCGAGGAGATGCCTCCTGGCGCCGACGTGGCGTACGTCTGTCCTGTCTGCGGTCAGATGTTCAGTCTGCACGATCGTCTCGCGAAGCACATGGCCTCGAGGCATCGCAGACAGGGTCCCCAGGACGCCTCCGCCAAGGCGTATCTCTGCGACGTCTGTAAGAGGAGTTTCGCCAGGTCGGACATGCTCACCAGACACATGAGGCTGCACACGGGCGTTAAACCGTACACGTGCAAGGTCTGCGGCCAAGTATTCAGCAGGTCGGATCACCTGAGCACGCACCAGAGAACGCACACGGGTGAGAAGCCGTACAAGTGCCCGCAGTGCGCGTACGCGGCGTGTCGCAGAGACATGATCACCAGGCATCTGAGGACCCACGCCAGATTCCCCGACGCTCAGACGCCTAAAACAGAACCTGGCCTCCTTGCCGGCGAGGACAGCCCGATGTTCGCGCAGGAGATGGCCTCGCCGTCGGCCACGATCAAGGCCGAATGACGACGGCAGGCTGGATGACCACGTTTCTCTGCCGCGATCCATGCGGTTCTCGAGGAAGGGGACGTCCGGCTACGACGGAGAGGCTCTTGGCCGCCGTCGCGAGGTCCCAGCGACGTCGACGACTGGACGGGGGTTGAAGAGGTCAACGGCGGAAGGCAAGGGATCGATCTATCCTGGAATCGACGCGACGGTTCGCGAGAATCGGAGACGAAGTCGCGGTAGAGTCGACGCGTTGACTGTCCGTTGACGGGCACCCGTATCTCGAACGCCAGCTTCGTTTAGTTCTTTGCTTTTGGAATTTAATATTTCAAGTAGCAATGAAGAATGTGGCATTACTTAAGAGACTTAACGTGTTTATCGCAAAATTAAGAGAAAAGAAAAGGCTGATGGGGCTTGCGTTTAAGGTACAAACGCGATGGTCAAGGGCGATTTCGAGTTAGGGATCCATTGAATTCGGAACGGATATTGTCCGTGCTGATAACATAAAAAAATTGTTGGTGCATAGTACTTAGAAAAGATGGTAGCCTATTTATCGCTATGAAAATCTTGTCTCTCTTAGAATCGTATTCGCGATGCCAGTTACGGACAGTCAACGCGTCGAGAGGGTAGCTTGGTAGTTTTTAGTTAAGAACTGCGGTTTCTTTATTGTTGCTTTTATGAGAAGAAATAAGGAGATACATTTTTTTTTTTGAAAATGTAAAATTTGATCTGCTCGTCGTTGATTCGATAACTGAAACTATTTTTTATAAAATATTCAGAGCGTATAGATATCGTCTTATAAAATTGAGATTACCAGACTGCCCTCTTAACAAAATTCTAAAATTTTCGTATATTTTGTCTTATATCTTGAAGTCACGCCGTCGGTCTTTGAATCATACGCGAGTCGTTTTAAGGCGTGTTTGAGACTTCTGACAGTATTACCGTATCTCCTCGTCTTCCCCGTTGCATCCCTAAAAATTGCGCGACGCGCATCTTTCGAGGTTCTTTGTCGCAAGTCAAGGACCGCTCGTGGCTCGTTTCAGCAACGTTCGACGTTTTCAGCTATAGTACGTTTCATTTTACACTCTGTAAAGTCCAGAGTTCGTTAACTTCCCTATTTTTTTTTTGTTTTCCTATTTTACTTGCGAAGAAGATAGTTCGCATTTCCTTTTTATTTTAGTCGAGTCTCTTGCGCACGAAAGCAGTGTTTTTTTTCCTTTTGCGCAAGGAATATGCGCCGCGTGCGGCGATTTAAAACTTTTAACCAATTTTTTTTTAGCTTTTCTGGAATTTCCTAGAATTGCCTCGTTGCTGGAACTTGTTCGAGTGGGCAACCTCCGTCGAAACCAAGACTACTCTTCCTCGGTCGATACTCGTACACTCGAAACTCAAGCGATCTAAAAGCATTCCCACTAAACCGCGCGCCACGAAGATCCACGAAAACGGTGCTTAAGCAAATTTGTAGCCTTCACGTCGATATCGATTCTTTCGTTTTCGGACACCAGAGATGGGCAAAGTTGTTGTCCTGTGATTGCCTTTGTACGTGCATCTGTTTGTTACGTGAAATATATACATCTACGTATGGTGTATATATTTGTATATTTTAATGTTTTTAATTCTCGATTACGCGCGTTGAAAGTGGTCAAAGGTGTTCGGTCGACTGTCGAAGAAGTAAGTGCCAAATTTTTTCGGTCGAGAAACGGTTGACGAATCTGTTAGTGGTATCCAGAGATGGGCAAACCTATATTAATTACTCGTAACTAAAATAAAAAAGTCACAACGAATACATCTTCCTTTTTTTTTGCGTTTAAACAAACACTTAACGTTATTATTTAAATAAAAATTAGAATTCGAGTTGCAGGAAAATTGCAAAAATTACGAACAATATTTTGTTCATCTCTGACGGTGTTCCTTTTACCTATCGTTGAAAAGAGACAACGATTTCCAAGCGAGAAATGTTTGTTTATCGGCGGTGTTCCTCTCGAAACTCGTCTATCGTCGATTTCGAGAATCAAAAATCGTCGATTCGTCGAGCGATCCAGCTCGATGCTCGTACGCAATCCTCGAGACGATTGTTTGAATGTTAGTATAGTACCGAGGTTGCGTCGGTAGAGTTAGTTGTTAACGATCGAACAGGAGAGAATGTTTTTTTATTGTGCGTTGCGATATTCCTCTTGAACGGCGTCGTGATATATATTTATCGAAAATTCGTTGTTAGGCGCGACTGAGAAACCGTTTTTTGAAACGTTGTACGAGGAAATTGAAGCTCAAGGATGGAGAACTCGAAGCGAAGAAAGAGGGTTGGGAGTTTTTCCTGGCGAATGAAAGTAGAACGAACGTAACCGTACCTGCAGAAAAAAAGAAACTTAAAGCATAATAAAGCGTCTAGACGTAACGTTAATTAGTGGGTAATATTGATATTATTATTGCGTTTTTATTATTATTATTATGAATATTAATATTATTATTATTATTAATATTATTCGCATTGTAACCGTCGGGCGTGAGAATATTTCAAAGCGCGCGCGGAGGAGCAGAGAAAAAAATATTTTTTTATAGAGATCAGATATTTTCTGCCCAGAGATGGGCAGAATTCTTATCTAAACACAAATTTCAATTAACAAATAAACGATAAACTTGATAAACGTGAAGTAAACTGTACCATCGAATAATCGTCACCGAATAAATTGCTATTCGTTAGTCGAGTAAAAATTTGCTCGTCTCTGTTTCGTTAAAGGGTCCGAAAAATATGTAGGAGAACGAGGCGTCGGAGAAAACAAAATCGGCGAAACTTCGTGGTTTGTCTTTAAACGAGGAAAAGGTTTGTAAACGGAGTCGATCGAAGGAAAATTGATTCTCTTCGAGAAGATGACTTTGTTACGTTACTTCCTACAAGTATTCCCCTGGACCTCGATAATTCTTCGCATTGCTAGAAACTGTAAACGATGCCTCTGGGAAATGTTCACGATGCGAACAAAACTCGTCTTTTCACCTATAAATTCTTCTTTTAAATCGCAATTTTATTGAGAGGAATTCTTTTTGGCTCAACAGTATACTGTTACTCACGAATCCATAAGGCGATTGTGAAAGTTTTGCGGTTCGATTCGATCCACAGGACGAACCTCCGCCTCGAACGCTTTGTCGACCAATGTTTGACGTGTCCCTATTATCGAGATGAAATCAATTGGCCGTTCAAGGCTGTCGAAGAGCTGTGCCCACCATAGTTGGTTGCCTCACTGCTCTACCGTCTTTGCAAGCTCTCTTCTCATACAGAGAAGCAAGATACTTGACACAGAACACAGTGTTTCTGAAACTGTGGAGCCTCGATGTTCCACGAACGTGTTGGAGACCCACAAATTCTCGAAAGATACGAAGAAGCATACTATAGAAGCACAATAAATTGGATTAGATTCTTTAGAGTGGAACACTTTGATCGGGGAGCCAAGGGATAAAGATTTTATAATACTATTCGATACAAATAATTAATACTTAAAAAGTCTAAAGAACACTAGTGCGAATACACTATATAAATAAACGCAAATAATTTTGTTATTCGATAGCTGGATTTACTGCCAAAAGTATTGCTACATTTGCAAGAGAGGAATGGCACATTTGCGGACCATGTTCCAACGAGTGCGTCTGTGATACCGAATGTGTTCATGCTTTTAATTAATGCGTAACTATTATTCAGTATCAGGCACACCTTGTCGTACTGGTAAATGAAACTAATTAAAAACAAAAAAATACTCAGTGAACGGGATTGGAACCCATGGCCTCGAGTCAACCGCATTCTTTTCCATTTTGCAGTCAGACATTTCGTTGTTAAGATATAATATGGTGGACTGAATAAAAATGGCGCACAGCGAGAATCACATTAGCGAATTGTAATTGCTTACATCTGGATAATCAAGCCTGGAATTGTAAATTCGTGGATGACTTTAGAACTTTGATTTTATGAATTAAACGATGATTGATCTATCGTTTTATGAAAATTATAAGGTAATACATTAATATTCTATTTATCACAAGCTGCATTGTTGTTTCCAGAATTGGAAAACCACATCTAATGTTACACGTATAGCAGCAAGTACTGTATCGTCTTACAAAATTAACGTCACAGTGGGGGAAACAACGTCGATCAGTTGATTCTGTTTCGACGATATGCGAATTAGCTGGAGACCACAGATGGGCAAAATTCTTGTCTGAATAATCTTCAACAAGTGAAAGATAGTTTTGAATTATAGAATTACGTATGTCGCGATGAATAAATAAAGTTGTGACTCCACGGACTAGTCAAAGTTTCGAATGAATCGCTTCGCGTTGGTCTCATTCGTCGCTTATTAGTCGAATAAAATTTTGCTCATCTCTGCTGGAGACCACGCGTGTAGTCGATATTACTTCAACCTTGCTCAACCTCGATCGTTTGCCTTTTTCCTTGTCATAACTCGCCCGTTTTGTCCAGTGGGTCTCCCGTTCGTGGCGGTAAGAGGCAGAGTGACGAATAACGCGAGTCACTCCCGTTTGTGAAACACACTCAAGACGCTCGTTCGTATGGACGCGCAACGCATACACACAGACACACAAAGTTACAGTGAGAGAGAGAGAGAGAGAGAGAGAGAGAGAGAGAGAGAGAGAGAGAG